TCTCTCTCTCTCTCTCTCTCTCTCTCTCTCTCTCTGTGTGTGTGTGTGTGTCTATCTCAGTTGACATGTATATACAAGAACATAAAGGGATACATGTGCACATCAATAGACTGTGACAGGTCGAATCATGAGCGGAGAGGACGGTGCGAAGATGAGAAAAACAGCCACAACCGCGTACGAGCCGGATCCTGCGGCGTGCCTGTGTGCATGTCTGTCTTAGTACTGGAGCAGCCAAGCAGTCCTCCCAACAGACTCACTGTCATTGTACGCTGAGGCGATTCACACCGCACGCACCACCCCGAATGCGATGGGGAGTGCAGGCAGGTGAGAAAATAGGGCACAAGAGAGGCCACCGTACAACAACGTGTGCATGGGGTTATTCCTGAACGGCCGGTGTCTGTGGTGACACAGCCTCAAGCGACAGACAGGCGGTGCATGCATGTGGACGGTTCATGGACCATGTACATGAGGCCAACACACATTTGTAGGACTGTGTATGAGCGAAGTGTCCACTTGCATGTGGCTGTTCCGATAACACTGACATTCCCGGACGTGGGAGTCACGGAATTACAGACATGTTGTGGCAGACTTTGACACGAACTGGCATCCCTTCATGATGAGGAGAGAGGAAAATTTTCATTTTCGGCATCTTTTGACCGCATGGGCAACAACGCAAAAGTAAGTGGAAGGTGCATGAAAATCCAACCCAAAAAAGTTGGTACGATTTTCACTCACGTTCATGACCCCCAGAGGCACCGCAACAAAAAACAAAAGAAATGCCACCCAATGGGAGCCCCCCAAAAGTCATATGTTTCCCCGCGCCGAAAACCAAGAAAACAACACCACTGATCACCGGCGGCGCCGAAGGGTCACACGCCCCCTCTATCCGCTACTCCACATACATCGGTAGTGGGATCTCGCTCCAGGGGAACTTGAGTGAGGAAAGGTGGGTGCGTCAGAGGTACTAAGACAGGGACAGATTGGGGGTGTAAGGCCCTGGTGATGGGAACTGTTTAGAAGTGAAGTAATCAGGGAAGCGGTGCATAAGGAGGGGACGTAAAAAAGGGGGGCTGTAAGAGGCAGGCTTTCTCAAGAGAAAAGAATGACCCTGATAGCCGTGATAGTCTAGACCAGGCTGCGTTGATCGGGACGCTGCACTGGGTTTCCAGCAGGTGTAGCTCCCCACCAACCGACTGGAGGCATCACCTTGTGCTACGCCTCAATCCCCGGAGTCCCCTCACCATTTTTTTAATTATTAAAAATTTATTTTCAAAATCATGTCTTTGTGTATGTATGGCAGCATGACGTACGTACGTGGCTTCGCGTGTGTGTGTTTGTTGTCATGTTTGAGAGCGCGGGCAAAAAAGAAAAAAGAAAAAATAAGAGAGAGAGAGAGAGAGAGTGAGGGCAAGGGCGAGCTGTTTGTGGCGAAAGATGAACCCGAGGGTCCTCAACCCAGAAAGGGGTCAGAGGAAGTTGGCTAAATTGGGCATTGCCCTCTCTTCGGTTTCGCATCATTTACATGGGTGACCCTGACAGAATCCGGCTGTATAGTGGTGCCGTCGACTGGGCGCTCCTTTTCCAGAGCACCGTCAACCGTAACATTAGCACTAATTCCGGTCCGGTGAGTCGCGACAGGCCGATGGGCGGCACGACGCGCCATGGGCGGGGGATTCGGAGCGACGATGGCGGTCTGCGGACACGGGCCCGCGCTTTCTACCGGTAGGTACCAACTCTGCGGTAGGTGAGGGAGGAGGTTTTGCCCGCCCGCCCTCACCCTCCCCTTGAGTCTGCGAACATCGTCTCCCCGCCTCGGCGAGACGCCCTGGGCGGGCGAAAGGGAGACCGAGGGCGAAAGAGAGACCGAAAGCGAGACCGAAAGCGAGACGCCGTGGGCGGGCGAAAGAGAGATCGCGAGGACGGAGGATGGCGGGCACGA